AAGTGATACACTGCAGGTAATGACTCTCCCAGAAAATACTCCATACAAATGGCCGCCCAAGTAGGTTATACACTCAGCAAAATCAATGGCCTGATTCTTAATCAAGCAGTGATCAACTTACTCTGCTGCAACCACCGCAGCTGATGAAAAAACTCACAGAGGTTTGACACGGGTAAAGAAAGAACACACACTTTCACATAAACACAGAGCAGTAACATAAGCACAGCTTTCAGAACACTTCAGTGAACATTTCCAATATTCTTCAGAGCATATGGCAACTGCAACAATTCTGCCATCTATTAAGAAAACACTGTTTCAAGCTATGAATTATTTTTAAGCACATAAATCTGACAAACTGCATCCTTAGCGAGTCTCTTGTACACTGAGAATAACCCCTTTATTTCAAAAGCAAAAGCTCCTCTTAAGGGAGCTCCAGTATTTCAGTCTGAAGAGCGGGGAAAAAAAAGTGCAGGACATCTTATACTAAATACCAGTTAGTTTGCATTTTGGGAATAGCCGCTGCATTTCCTCTAAAGCTGATTATTTAATTCCGGCCCTAACGTGCTGTGATGCACCAGCAATCCCTCTCGGAGGTTCACTGTCAAAGCCCAGCAAGCAGAGCTGCGTAACCTCTGTAAGGCTATGGAGAGGCACATCGGGACCTGCACAAGCAGCCAGCTGGGGTGCTCTGCTCCGAACCCGCAAGAAGGCTGCCTGGAAGTGGTAAAGATTTCACGACTACCCTCCCACACCAGCTGCGAGAACCCTCGACCCTTGGCAAGGAGCCCGATGCAGTTCCAGGGGCGGTGCAGGGAATCGCAGGGGCTCACCGCCCGCCCCGCTGCTCTCCCGAGCGCCTCCGCGGCGCCCCCGGCCCCTGCAAAGCCCGCACCTGGTCGTCCTCGTAGATGATGTTGGCGGGGATCTCCTTGCGGATGATCTTCCCGAAGATGGTGTCCCCGCCGGGACGCGCCGCCTGCGCCTTGCTGATCTCGTCAGCCATGGCGGCGGCTCCCGCGCGGCTCCCGCCGGCCCTCAGCCCCGCCTTCCTCCGAGACCACGCCCCCGAGAGCGCTCATTGGGCCAACGCTGGCATCTGGCCGTGCCCGCCCGTCTGACTGGCGGTTTCGCCTGTCATTGTCCCGCTGGTCCCCGCCCACCGCACTGGCGCGCCCTCGCTGACCCGGGAATCGCGGAGGGATCCGGAGGGAGGAACTATTGCCGGCCCCGCGCAGGGATCAACGCTGCGAAGTGAAACACGACTATGAAAAAGTAGTGCAGTCCCAGCAGAGGCTGTTGTGGGCAGAAGTATTGCTTATCAAATCCAGCCCAAATGCCTGTGTGATTTGTTGGGACAAGCTCCTGCGGACTGCACCAGGCTGGGCTGCGTTAGCTTTTCCACCAAAGTTTGCAGGTGTTTGGTGCTCCTGGATCAGGGTCCTGCAGAAGGGCAGTTTGACGTGCCAGCCCTTCTGCACATAAGTAGTTTCGTAACTATGAAACAAAATTATCAGTATAGCCAAGCAATAATTCACAGAGGGCAACACAAAGTTACACAGCTGTACATCTAGTTGTAAATGGATTTTTTTTATATATATCTATGACACCAGTCATTAAGTAGGAGAAATTAAAAAGAAGAGGGGGAAAAACAACACAAACCTTATGGAGTAACAGCAAAGTTTCATTTTCATGCCAAGTATGAGGTCCTGCGCCTGGATCGGGGCTACCCCTGCTATCAACATAGGGCGAGATGGAGAGCAGCCCTGGGGAGTAGGATTTTGGGTGCTGGTGGCTGAGAGGCTGGACATGACCCAGCCATGGGCACTCCCAGCCCAGAAAGCCAAACGTGTCCTGGGCTGCACCCAAAGCAGCGTGGGCAGCAGGGGAGGGAGGGGATTCTGCCCCTCTGCTCTGCTCTGCTGAGAGCCCACCTGGAACCCTGCATCCAGCTCTGGGGTCCCAGCACAGGGAGGACATGGACCTGTTGGAGTGAGTCCAGAGGCCACAAAAATGATCAGAGTAACAGAGCACCTTTTCTATGAGGACAGGCTGAGAGAATTGGAATTGTTCAGCTTTGAAAAGAAAAGACTTGAGAATGACCTAATTGAAGTTTTGCAGTACCTGAAGGCAGCCTACAATAAAGATGGAGGGAGATTTTTTACAAGGGCATGTAGTGACAGGACAAGGAGGAATGTCTTTAAATTGCAAGGGAAGTGTTCAAGCCCAGGCTGGATGGAGCACTGAGCAACCTGGTCTGGTGAAAGGTGTCCCTGCCCATCGCAGGGGCATTGGAACTAGATGACCTTTAATGTCCCTTCCAACCCAGACAATTCTAGATTCTATGATTTTCTAAACTTCACCAAAAAAAAAAAAAAAAAATAGATTGATTCCCCTGAAGATTTGTCTAGGAGCATATTAATAGAGACATTTATATATATTTGTCTCCAGACAAAAATGTTACAGGAAAACATTTTGGAGGGAGGCAGGGAATAAATATTGCTAAGTGGCTTAAACGTAATATGGTTCCGCAGCCGATTCCTGAACATGTTACAAAAAGAGCATAATTTGTCATATATTTCTGGTAGTAAGTCTGAAATAATTTATCATGAAATACCCTGAAAAAAAAAAAAAAAAAAACCAAAAAAAACCACCTCTGATAAAGTACATTAAACAATGAAATTTTATTCTCTTCCTTAGATGATGTTCTGGATTAAGATATTTTGACATGTATATGTCCTACAGATGGTATTGGAGCTTTATGGCAATTAAAAGAAGTGCTTCAGGGACAAATTTCTTTGAATTATATTGTTGTCCAACCAAGGTTATTCAGCAAATACATGAACAATTTGGGTGAACACTGCTGTGGATTTAGTTAGAAAGTACACTTCTATGTTAAGAGAAGACATAAAGAGACAAGTTTAGAAGTTTCTCCAAAAAAGCAAAACCATTTTTTTTATGTAGTTGACTTCAGCACATATTTTTGTCTCACTATGTAAACAGCAACTTTTATTATTTTGAATAAAACAATGAATGAATTAGACCCTCCTTTTAAATACCTAATTCATTCATTCATTCACATCTGCAATAATTATTCTTAGAAATAAATTATGAATAAACTTCTGCTAACAGATCAAGTTTCTTTATGAGTTACATAGTAAAAAATAAGTATTTAATAGGCGCTTACAAGTATGTATTAATAATAAAAATATTAAAATTATTGAGTAATAGTTTAATGTTCCCATATTTCAATTAGCGTACAATGTAATTGCTGTGAAATTATTCAATAGATTGTGTTTTGAAGCTAGAGGTCTACTGAGCAGTAAAGCTGATTGCACAGAAAACCCTTATGCTGCCTTTAGCTAATGCTGAATGATGTGTTACTGAACCATAAGCTTGTTTGTTTTTCAAGAGAATGGCAGTTCAGTTTTAGAGATGTACCCGGCGTGGCCATGATGTGGGCAGGCCAAGGCTGGGTTGGTCCGGGTGTGAGTAAGGCAAGCCAGGGCTGTGGGGAACTTGATGTGAGCAGCCAAGAAAGTGACCTGACTAGAGAGGGGAAATGACTGAAGAATATGCCTGTTGGGTAACACCAGCAGAAAAAAAAGCCTGCCAGTTTGGCAGCTGTGATCCTGAGAACCAAAAGTGTCCTTGAAAAGTGCAACTGGCCTCTTCTAAGTACAGCTGGGTACCTAGAAACTGGAGAGGTCCTGAGATTCTACTGATAAGCTCAGAAACAAGGAATTGTAACTACAACTTTTCTTCTGAAGTGGTGAAAAAATAGACTGGGAAAGAAGACAGCACTGCAGATAAGGAAGGATTCCAAACCGCCATTGGTTGTTCTAATTGCAAGAGCAAGGAAACAATCTGGCAAAATAAAAACTGAATTGAAGATGCATCAAACATCATCATTCATTGGCCATTCTGTGTGTTGCGCAGAAACTGTGCGATGGCTGTCCAGTTACCCATTTGAAACAATTATAATTTTGTTCAGGAGTAGAACACACTGGTCTTTGTGCCACCCTGGGCAATGATGTGCAGGCCCTGGCAGGGGGTGCTGGGCTGGGAGCAGCCCCTCATCCCCACTGTGGCTCCCCTTGGAGGGCAGGGGTCCCTGTGCCACTGACCACTGCAGTGGAATGGGGAGCCTGTGGGCAGCACTGCCTGCCTGCTACCGACCCCCTTCAGCTCCTCCTGCAGGCAGTGGCAGCCTCCTGCCAGACCTTGGCACACCGAGTCCTGGCACTGTTTGGATAGCCAAGAAGGCCAGTATGATCCTGGGGTGCATTAGGAAGAGCATTGCCTGCAGTTCAAGGGAGGTGATCCTGCCCCTCTACTGTGCCCTGCTGAGGCACATCTGGAGTGCTGTGTCCAGAGTGCGAGAAAGACATGGAGCTCCAGCAATGGGTCCAGCGGAGGGCAGTGAAGATGGGACTGGAGCGTCTCTTTTTTGAGGAAAGGCTGTGGGAGCTGGGCCCGATCAGATTCGAGACAGCTGAGGGCACCTCATCAATGTCTGTCAGTATCTGAAGGAAAGGGGTCAGAGGAAGGATCCAAGCTGTTCTCAGCGGTGCCCAGCAACAGGACAAGGGGCAGTGGACAGAAACCGATGTTTCTGAAACAGCAAGTTTCTGTGAACACGAGGAAGAACTTCTTTGCCGTGTGGCTGAGTGGGTACATGAGTAGATTGTCCAGATAATTTGTGGAGTCTTCCCCAATGGGGATGGAACTGTCTGGACACAGTCGTGTGCCGTGTGCTCTGGGATGTCTCTGCCTGAGCAGGGACGTTGGGCTAGACGAGCCGCTGTGGTCCTTTCCGGGCTGGGCTGGAAGTCCCTTCTGGGAGCCTGTGAAGGCCGCGGCAGCCCCGCCGGCGGCGACAGCGGGGCGGGGGCACAAAGGCTGCTCGGAACGGCGGCGGCGGCGGGCGGCCCCCGGGGGACAGCATTGGCGGCGGCACCGGCAGCAGCGCGGGAGGGTGCGGCTCGTTCCTGCTCGGCACTTCCGGCGGCGGGACGATGCCGGCAGCGGGCGCCATGGGGAGCCGCGGGCAGGCGAGTGACACGCACACAGACAGACAGACAGACAGACAGACAGAGAGACACACACACACAGACAGACACACAGAGACACACACACACGTGTGCGGTTCGTGGTGGGAGGTTGCAGCTTTGTAGCTTTTGTAGAGCCAAAAAACATAGACTTTCAGGACAGGAAAGTTAAAAAACTAGGTAACAGAAAGTAGCGGTTTGCACGCAAAGAGCATTGCGGGGAAAGGAAGCGAGGAGATGTGATAAGCAGAAGTTAAAATACATCAAAAGCACGTCTCCTGAGAGTAAGATAGGAAAAAACAAAGACCTAAGAATTAATAAGCCGTTTCATTACTACGGTGTGATTTCCTGTCGGTACCTCGTTCGGAAGTGTCTTGGAGCCTAATTTTGGAGCAGAGCTCTCTGTTAATGCAGGTGGCTGTAGAGGTCAGAGGTGTCTGCGTTAATACATCTTGATCAAGGCCATCTAATACAGCTTTTCACCATTGTGGCTGGTGTGGTGAAAAGTTTCCAGGAGGGGTTTGCAGAAATTGAACCAGAGAATATCCGTGGTTGGAAGGGAGCCACAAAAATGATGGAGCCCAGCCCCTGGCCTTGCTCGGGACCATCTCCAGGAGTCACACCGTGTGCCTGAGGGAGTTGTGCAAAAGCCTCCTGAACTCTGTCAGGCTGGAGCTGTGACCGCTGACCTGGGGAGCCTGTTCAGTGCCCAGCCACCTTTTGGGTGAAGAACCTTCTCTGATACCCACCTGAGTGTCCCCTGACAAAACTTCAGGCCATTCTTTGACTCCTGTCACTGGATATCAGAGAGGAGATTGGTGCCTGCCCCTCCTTCTCCCCTTGTGAGGAGCCTGTAGACTTCTGTATGCGTAGGAAGATGCCTGAAAACGGCTCATGAATTGTTGAAAATAACCATAAAAAATTTCAAGTTTTGCCATACATGTGTTCAACACAAAACCACATGTAATATTAATCTGCTATTTGAAAAGATGGCAAATATACTGTGGGGTATAAAAATTTTAGGATATTAAAATATCTGCAAAACAAGAAGTTTATTTGTTGTTTTTTAATCCTGTGGGTTTACTTTCCACAGATTCATCCATCTAGGGAATGGTGCAGTTATAGGCAACATGGCTCTGTTCATTTGCTGGGTTTTTTCTGAGTTACAGCCCTGTGTTCATTCTGTGTCCTTCTAAAAAATACTTGGAATACTAATTGCGAGATAACAAATTGAGATTATTATGAAGTGCCTGGAATTGTGCCCTCTAGAGGTGCCAAAACATGATAGGAAGTACTAGAAGGAGCTTCAAAAGGCATATTGTTATCAAGATTACGTTTTTCTGGTGCTTGTCAGAGATTCTTTTCAGTCTGTGGCAAACACCAGAAAAGTCTCATAAGGATTTGAGGGTTTCTGTAATTCATTGCAGTCTGTATGAATGGTCAAGCAAAACCACATGACGGTGAGCTGTGATTTTCCGGGGGTTTGATTTTCATACGTATTCAGGTGTGTCTTCTCTACATTGTAAATCCCAACTTTCTGAGTGTTTGCTTTTACTGAAGTGTTCATTTGCTGACCTGGCAGTTGTATTTAAGAGAAGGACTTGGCACTGGTATTGCCACACCACCTGCAGAAGATTTTTATGTGAGAATACTTCAGCCATTTCTTTTTCTATCTTTTTCAGTAGCTAGAGAATATGCACTGATGTAACCTTGATAATTCCTTCAAGTAACTTGACTTTTAGAGATATTCCAGTTCTGTTGGGTTTATTTGTCATTGGCACAATAAATAATGCTTGTGTCCATGTATTTTCAGGATTGTATTTCCATCATGCCAATAATTATTTAGTACTGTGGTGCCAGCATTTTAGGGTAATTTGAGATATCTAACCTAGCTAAGATTTTGATAACATCACATCTGCTTTGGCTGCAAATGTTAATCGGGAATTTAAGTAAAGCCTCTTATCTATTGATTCTGCATCAAATTCTGTACTGAATGGAAAGAATATGAAATTTAAACCAAAGCATTTTCAATTGTAACATGTTTATTTTAACTAACAATCCTGCTAGCAAATAAGTTAATTCTGTTGATGTTGTATTGGCAGGTTTTGAAGCTTTTTAAGTTGCTACATAGAACACGGCAAGAAGTTTTTAAAAATGATACCAAGGCTCTGGAAGGTGAGATACTTGTTTTGTGTGGTGCATGCTTACCTGTATTTCGTGGAACTTTCTTCTTGGAATACAGAGAAAGATTATGTTAAGAATTATCTTTCTTCAAATTACTTCCATGATTTTCAAGTAATATTTGGGAGAACTTGTGTGTCCATAGTCAGATATCCTTTAATTTGAAACAAAAGAATGGTCCTTAGATTCAAGCACCCAACACATATATTGAAAGGGAAACATCTCTTTTTTAAATGTTCCTGATCTTCTTGGGAGATATTTTTCTTTTGCTTCTTTTATCTTCTCTTCAGTCCAGCCAGAGACTGTTAGCTGTACTAATTAATTCTCTATGTGTGGTTTTTCCTCAAGGGATTAATCCTGCTTTTTTAGTAGCTTGTGTATGTAATACAGAATGCTAAATTTGGGCTCTTATTTTATTTGTAGACCAATCAACTTAAAATGTGACGTCATGTGAATTCCATGGAGATCTTACATTGAAATACTTTGATCAGAATGTGCCATAAAGGACTTAAGATTCTTAACTTTGGGGCAGTGACAAATTCAAAATATAGTTTTTGTTCACTCTTTCGTTTTATGTTTACTGTATTTAGCTGCAAGGCAAAAGATAAATGAAGAATTCAGAAATAACCGAGACGAGACATCTGAAGAGAAGATTAATGAGGTATTTTATTGCTTTCTGTTGTTTGGGGTTTTCTCCCACTTTATATAAGAATGTTTAAATTTTTTTTTTTTTACTTAAAGAATCTCTAAACCATTGTAGAGACATTGAGACATCATGAAAGCCAGGTTGGTTTAGAAAGACTTCTACATGGATCTTTGTTTATAAATATATAGATATTGCCAATGGTACTAATACTGTGTTATAAAATCTTGTACATAAATACCTAAATAGAAAGTGTGTTCTGATAGTTCAATGTGATTAGTTTGAAGTTTATAATAAAATTTTATGAGGTAATATTTGAAGTTGAAATTTTCATGTAAATATTTTATGCTTTGCTTATAATACCTGTCTGCACTGTGGTGACTTCAATGTACCTGCTCATTGCTGTTTAGGGAAACAGAAACAGACAGACAAATTAAACAATCTGCTCAGTTACTATCACAAATGACTCCGCATCTTTGTGGAAGGCAAAAACCAGCAAAATTATTATGATTGATTGTCGTATAGTATAGTTGTAGCATTTCTTAATTATACTACAGGGATTTTTTTGCTTCTTCTTTCCTTACCCTGCATTAAAAGTGGAGCATTGCAGTTAATTCACTAAGTTAGTTACCTTTGCTCAATTGCTGCCTTAACACATTCTGCTGAGTCATTTTTTTTCTGAAAGTTACTGTGAACTGAAAGGGAATTTCTGTGGTTTAGATAATTTTAGCTATTAACTTCCATACAGACTGAATAACTTAGTCCTTGTCATTCAGCCTTTTATCAGACTGTCTTTAGATTGTCACTGGGCACTGGTTAGAAGAAAGTGCCTACATCTGTCCCTTGAAGAAATAAAATGTAAACCTTTTCCTCATGCCAGCCACTGGACAGTAATGTAAATAGTTCTGACCTTTCAGTTAGGAGTTCCTGAATTTCAGCTTCTTATCAGCCTCCTGTAATAATACCCAGTGTTTGTGCTACCACTGTCTGATCAGCTAAGTTATATGTTCAGGGTTGTTTTTTTTAATAGATATACAGGAAAAATATTTGCTGCAGTTCTGAAATCTGTATTTGTTTTCTAGACAACCTACAAATTACACATATGTGACTTTTTAATATGGGTTAGCTGATACTTGATTAGCTGTGTCAGTGAAAGAAATACTAGGCTTCCATCCCAGCTGCACACTCCTAGAACATCACAGAGGCTGTCATATTTATTACATGTACAAAGTGAAAAGACTTAGTTGCAGAGGAACTGAATCGAGTTTTGTACAGGACTTCAGAATGTTTGAGCGCTTGCTTGCATGAATGTGGTGCTGTTAATGTTCTGCTTTGGACAGAAACTAAAATATGGAGTATTTACCAGCCAGAATAGAAAATTACAGTGTATTCTAATACGACGACAACTACTCGTATCTGTATGTACTTGTACATGTCAAGCTTGTAGTGACATAAGGAGATCGAGATAACTGTCTACAGGATGAGAATGAGAAATGTGGTAGCTGAATCTGATGCACCAGTTTTTGTTCAGATGTGGAGTACACTTACGAAGTTACCTTGGTTATTTCCACTTCCTGTGACTTGTCTTGTTATGTAAAGTGTCAGACCTACTAGCAGAATTCCCTTAAGGTCAATCTGAAGAGGAAGCTGTGCTTCAGGAGCATGCAGCCTAGCAGGGAGAACTGAAGGGTACCTGCTCCAAGCCCTTAAAAGGGAAGAGCATGAGAAGAAGTGCAGTGTAGATGGCAAGTACTGAGCTCTAGCCTTTGCAAAGATCCACTTCTGTTGGTACATGCCACTTCTTAGTGTGAGCATGTCTTCTGAAATGTCTCACTTGAGCAATTTCATTTATTTCTGACACAGGTATCATGCAAACAAGTATTAGACTTTTCTTAATGGCTCAGCAAACCTAGCAAGGGTGCTGCAGCTTATCCTCTTAGTGTGAGAAGGAATTCTAGGCCTTTTGCCAAATTCTAATGCCTCGGGTAGTCTTTAGGTAGTGCCTTGTTTCTGCAGAGTTCTACTGTGAAACTTCAGTATTCTTAGTTCTTGTCATGTTTTGCCCTTGTTTTTGTCTGCTTATTTCAGGAGCAGTAGTGTTGAAAGAATGAGATTGCCCTTTCACTATGAGAAGTTGAATGTTATTGAGGTGTGAGTGAGTGTCTTTGATCATTGGAAACTAGTTAATTGATTTTGTAGTTGCATTTCACATTGTTCATTTGCAGTTTTAATTGGGTACATAGATGCAGGTACTGGTGTATGTTACTGAGCCAGTTTCCCTCACTATGTGCTCTGTGTCAAGGTCACTTACATGTCAATCTGTAAGTTATTCCAGGATCCCCAAGGCAAAAGTAATGTATACATAGTACATAAGTAACTGAGTAGTACAGCCAAATGATTTTATTAGTTGAATAGTTGTCTAGTTTGGAAAATATCTTCAGAAGCAGTCACATGTAATTCAAATTACTCTCTTGTTCCTCTCTTCTTATTCCCTTTACTAGCTTCTTAAAATAGCTTCAGATGTTGAAGTGATTCTCAGAACTTCTGTTATTCAGGCGGTTCACACAGATTCTGACAAAATAGGTGAGTAAGCCTGCATGCTAAAAAGATACTTAAATATGTTACAGTTTAGTAAATAAGTACAGAATGTGAAAATAAGGAAGGGAATAGTGAGGCAAGTAGCCTGTCTGTTATTCTCTGGCAAAATTCTTAATGTAAGCTATTTGTTAATGTTGCTACCTAGGACAGGTGGAGGTTTCAAAGGTACAAAGTTTCCATACAAATGTTTTGAAGTATAGAGGCTGGTAAAAAAGAGGCCGTGATTACTTTAAATGCTCTTACCTAGCTGTAACTATTAGGAAGGTCAGCAATTAGATAGCTAGTCAGCATGCATGTACAGGCTAGTTAGTCAGCATATGTCTAAAAGCAGTAGCCACAGAACCTATCTGTAGGTGCTTGCTCTACCAACTAGGGAGGGGCTGCCTGAGGAGCATTAGCAAGTGCAGAATATACACTGACAAAAGAAAAGCTTTTTCTTTGAGGATTGAGTGTTCATTTCCAAAAATTTTTTCCAAAAATTTCAGTTTCAGGTTATGCTGTGTAAGATTTGTGATACAGTGATTACCTCAATGCAAAGACTATCAAATTTTGAAATACTGATTCCTGATTTAGAAGTTCTTTTATCTTGCAGTCAAAAAGAGAAGTAGTAGATAGGCTCAGCATACAGCTGCTCAGTAAGAGAATACAGGAAATCTTCAGCTATGTACATTGTTTCCTTTTACTTCTGTTTAGTGTTGTCTGTAAGGTTTGTACCAATTTTCAGGTTTAGGTTTGATAAAACATTTAACTTTAAAACAGCGATTATGATCAAGGCCAAAGATAAGTCTGGACCAGTGTTAAGTCTTCCATGGTGATTCCAGGCAGATAACAGTTGAAGAATAGGAACAGGCAAAGTGAATTTGCACATCTTTCAGCTGTTCACACCTGGCAGCAGTTCCTGAGTCAGGGATGTTTTCTGGTTTAATTATCTTCAATGGGCTTCTCTTCAATTACTTTTCATTTTCACCAAGCTGTTCGTGAGTTTTTAAGTCCTTTGTTGCCTCCTCTTTGTTCACTTCCCCCATGAAACAGCTCTCAGAAACAACAGGTGAATGCCTCTGATTATTCTTGCTATTCACTACACACTGTGGGCAAGGAGGCATTTATACATACAACGATGGCACAATCATGTTCTGCCTTTCATTTTCAACTGGATTCCTGGTAATAGTCACTGCTAATTCTAAATTTAATTTTTGGCTGCCAAACATACATATTATGTACTTCTTTTTAAAAAACTGTACTCATTAAACTTATTGGAGTGGTCATAATCAGTTTTGAACTTAACACTTACTTTGTGAAGTTAGTATTTTTCTTGACCTGTGTGCTTTGCATGTCTCCAGGTGTAATTTTGTCCATCAGTTTACTCAGTCAGGTCTTAAGCGTGTCTTGCTATTTTTCACAGTAAGACATCTTAATGAAATTGTTCAGGATGGTATAATTAAGAACCTTTTCTTCACAGGTTACTTACAAATATGTTGAACAGTGACATGTCAGCAAAAATACCTGTAGAACTCCACGTTTGACGTCACTCAGTGGATGACCTGATCATTTATTGCTCACGTCTTACAGTTTTAACCAGTGACTTATCTCTGCAAGACTTCTGTCATAATAAGGCTGTTGTTTTATAAAAGCATTGACTGAGGGACTTCTGGGAATCCAAACATGTTGTGGTAACCTCTGAAGCACCATTCAGAGAACTCCAGCAGAGACAGTGAGGCAGAACTTCCTTTGCAAAAGCCAAGTGGTGTCACATTCAAATACTAGCTTATATTCTAATGCTGTGCAAGTATGTAGGGATGGGGTTAGGACAGCCAGGTGTATCAGCAACAGAAGGAGGAGGAGAGAAAACATGGGCGTGCAGCTGAGTAGGATGGGGACTCGGTAACGAGGACACAGAATAGTCAGTTCTGTGACAATATTGTGGCAGTAACTTTCACTAGGTGCTTTCTTTTCCTGTTGGCCTTCAAAATAGGTGTGACAAGGTAAATATTACAGATTAAATTCCAAGACTTGGGTGAGAGAGCTAAGTCAAATCCAGTACTCATTTTTGAAATTGCTGAAGTAAGCATAATATGACTCAGGCTTGAAAAAAATGCCATTCACCCCCCTGCTAAAAGTTACTGCAAAACTTAATGGCTTCTTAATATCAAAATTTTCAATGCTTGTTAAAGGAGATGGGAAGACATTATTGTAACCAGCCGAAAGTAAAATCTTAGTATGATTTTGTCTTAGGTGGATATCATGATGCTACTTACCAGTTCAGATCCTCATTTTAGATACCAGATTTTTTGTTTGTAAATGTAAAAATGCCTTTAGAATTTGAAATAGTATTTTCCATAAGATTATAGTCTTACTGTTTTGAGGTTTTTTTTTTCTGTTTCAGTACTCATACCCAGGAAAGATCTGCTACAGGACAACACTCCTTACTTAGATAAACCAACAAAAAAACAAGAATCCTGAGGAAATACTGTTACCAGGAAAAAAGAGACTGAAATCAACTCACTGATTTTATTGAGTGCTGGGATATCATCATGCACTTGTTCTGTGGAAGATAGTAATGCTTTCACAGAACTTAAAAATACACTCATGAATTGTGTTACTTCAGCCAGGAATGTTTCTGATTATGACAGCTCTCAGACAGAGATTGTTTCCCTGCAATCCAGAGTTTTTCAAAGCTATTTAAAAATTAAATAGAATACTTAATACTGACAATATTTATTTTTAAGTTTATTGTCAATCATAAGCTTCTTTGAAGTAATGAAAAATCATCTTGTGGCATATAATGTTAAATTTATTCTTTGCACCAAAAGCATGATTTCTGAAGTTGTCATTAATTGTACACTAGTATACTGTGATGCTTGAGAGAGTTCTTAAAGGTTTGTCTGAATAAATTATTTGTGTTTTTCAGATGGGAGAGCATGTCTAGTGTTTTTCTTCCACACACTCTGGAATGAGCAGGAATGTTAGGATTTGAGTTCTCAGATGACAGCACAAGAGAACCCAGACACAACGTAACCTAAGGATGTTGGTTTAGATCATATGGTTTATGAATTTGTGGTTTGTGTTTTAACTTGTAATCATTGAGTGACTGAGGCATTTTCCAAAGAAAAGAGCCTTGCTGTTTAGTTGCAAGTGAACTTGCCTAGAGTGAATATATGAAAAGTGTGATTAGTAAGCCCTAATAATTTGCATTTTTTTAAGGATACTTCCTTGGTTCTTGGGGAATTCGTTGCAATGATCTGTTCACTTCCATTTAAATTGGAGGGAGGTACAACTGCAGTGATACATAGAATCTTTTCTTCATGAAATTGATGCTAGGCACCACCCTAGGATCTAAGTACCTCACACAGGAGTGAGGCAGTCTGACAGTATGTCTCACCTTATGAGTCCTGCTGTATCTGTTATCTCAGTCTCCAAGATGTCAGAATTGCCTATCTGTGTGTGTACTGATTTGGCTTGACTGGCTGAATTAACCAGAAAACTCGTGCCTTCATCCAGTCTCTTTTTCTCACAAAGCATGTCAGTATGACAAGTACTCCTTTCTTTAAAACTCTTGCCTCTGGATGCAATGGCCAGGGCAGCCAGCAGGAAATACAGCTGTCAGTAACTCTCTTTGAATTGCACTGATACTCCCTGCACTGTAGCTAAAAGGCACCAGGCACACGATGGGAGATAGAATTGAATGACTGCAGTTCTTGCCATTTGTTGTATTCTAGTGGCTCCACTACAAAACAAATGTCTCTGTCTGTAGAGGATGTCCTCTTCCAGGCCCCTGGCATTGTTTACTTCCCTAAGAACTATATCCTATGTCTGGTTTCCCATCCTTCTGCAGCCTGTCTACGTTGACTTTTTTTTTTTTTTCCTATAATGGGCATAAAAGAATCATGCCAGAAAGAGAAAATACAAGGTAGTCGCAACTACCTTGTAAAGAGAAAGCAGAGCATTGTGTCAGGTGAAATTACTAACTTTTAAACAGAAGTAATTAAATGGGGGTCTGGCAAGACTGGGAAATTGTATAAACATTAAGGTGGACATCCCATGGCATGTTGGAACTGGGGGGAATTCACCTCTCATAGCCACCGCCTTAGGCTGTGGGTATAGCCTCAGAGACTTTATCCTTCAGTTTGATTTTATAGAACTGATGCCTGGTAAGTTTTCACTCTTTTCACTACAGATGTAAAACAGTATTGCCCATTACCATGCAAAATAGGTAGTAAAAGACTTCAGTGATGTCAGCGGTAGATGGTGGTCTTCTGTATGCTCTTTGAGGAAGCCACAAGTGGAGAAATTTGTCATGTGACTGTTGCTTTGGTATGGTTCTGCTGTCATGTGTTCCAGGGTTTTATTTTTTAGTAAGAATACATCAGTGGAAATACAGTAGGGAAGTGTCAACTTACAGGATCAGGATTGCGATTCAATGGGCATTTATGTCCTTCATCTTACATATGTCTTGAATACTCATAATAAAAATACAGAATGAGTCACTTGAATAACATACACAACTGGTGAAAATAAAGTACCTTTTAAAAATAGTTGGTACAGTTTATTGGTCTTCAGAATGATTGTTCTTACACTCCTCTGCAGTATCTTTGTGGTGTGTGCATTAACATTCCATGTTCCTGCTGTCCTTGTGCATTCCTGGCAGCAAAGACAAACCAAATTCTGCAGTGTTAAGATGAAGAAAATGAAGATGATACAAAAAAGGCTATTGACATAAGAGGCTGACAGGCCTATTCCTTGCTCTTATTCAATGTGATCTTAAATAGGAGTCCAGGAAGTATCTAGACCAAGGTAAATGGGAATCCAAATATAATGAGCCTAAAAGTATCTCAGACTTGGTTGCTGTCTGGGCCCAATAGGTGTTCGCTTTCTTCAAATCTTGAAAGAATCTCACAAACCTGCTTAATGAGCAGCTGCTTATTAAGGTAATTAAAGGCTTCTTCGTGCTAGTTGATCATAGTGACTATTCCTCTTCCCCTTACTTCATGCTTACCTGTTGGTTTGCATTCCAGAATCCAGCCATCACCCCTGTTTCCATTTCCCTTTTTAATTTCACTCTGGGTATGAATCTGTTCTTGATATTGCTAGGATTGTGCTTATATATATATATATATATAAAATTAATAAAAATAAAAAGGAAATGTTGTTGCAATCTCTCTTTGCAAAGGTTGAAGTCTTAGCTGAAACTTCAAGTTATTACAGGGGTTTTCACTTAATGGCTTAGGAGGGGAAAGGGTTTTCTGTTTACAACAGAAACTGTAGTTTAGTTAGGCTTACAATTACACAGTTCAATCGCATTTAAGTTTTTTAGGTTTACTGGAACAGCAGAATTTTTAAAGCAAATGCGTGTGCCTTTCCTTCTAGAGTATATATAATGAATCATAAAAGATATGCCTTAAACAGTTCTTTAAACTGCAGTTTTATTATGTCTGTATCCAAAAAAAAAGCCAAAGCCATAGAGCTCTTCTGCAGACAGACAGGAGGTGCTCTTGGAAAAGCCTCAGTGCTGGTTCAGATCTGCTACAGCCCAGCTGCCACAGCCAAGAGGTCAGTGTGGTCTGACCAGCACACGTTGCTGTGCAGGGGTGTGTCCGTGACCTGTGCAGAGACACCAGCAGTGCTGCTTAGCAAGACCTGGGCTTGTACAGGCGAGTTTCAGGTCTGCTCGAGGTAGTCACATGTGTGCAGAGTTTGGCAGAACAGATGCTGCTTCAGTGATTCCATGTAGCACAATTCTAAGCACTTCAGCTGTTGGCATCATCTACCAGAGATGCAGCGGTTAGAGCCTTCTGTCTTGGTATTCTCTTTCATGAAGTGTTGACTTCATATACACTGTAGTTTTATTGAGAGCGTGAAATACATCTGAAGAGTATTTCCCGTTTAAATACTAAGTTCTGTGCTAACCCCATTTCCCTCTTCTTTATTTAACAGTTTCAAAATAAAAGGTTTCTTCAGTTGTGTTTTTATGCAAAATTAGGATAGGGATCAATCATGGTGTTAATATGTTTTCTACAGCCTGATGTTCATAAAACACAGGTGATATATTTAATTTATTAATTGATTTGGTTTGTGTAGTTAGGATTTGTGTTGAACTCTTAACAGTTTCAGGTGAAACAAAGTGTTTGTTCTAATGTAGCAGGGGAAAATGAATCCCCTTCTCTGTTCCTGTGCACTTTGGTAAAGGAAGCATTTAGTTGCTAATTTTACAGGGAGTACTTTTAAACCACAAAGTGATTTTACAAAGACTTGATCTGGAAGTAGCATTAAAAGTTCAGTATGGAAAGGTGGCTTGTAGCTTCCCTAAGGAGCTGAGTTCTCAGTTTTTCAGGTAACATGAGATCAAAACTGTGGCAACTTCAGTGACATAAGCATCTAGTATTTTTCTTAGAGGTCCTGCCAGCTGAAGGAGCTGAAGTAGTCTGAATGCTGCATAAAATTATCAGCCCTGTTTGTATCACACTGGTCTTGTAAATACAGCTTCAAGTACTGGCAGTTCTTTAAACTTCCTTCACAAAAGGAAAAGAAATATTGACAATTGAAAACTAAAAATAAAGGCTGACCAGCTAACAGGAAGAGCTGAGACCTAATACTTCCCAGCTTCAGATAACTCTTTCAAAACTACTTGCAAAATCCAGTCCTGAAGTTTGGTAGGCTGTCAAATCTTTGATCTTTAGTTTTATGGGAAGATAATTATTTAAAACAAAGCACAAGTAGCAACACAAATTGAGTATTAAGGTTGGTATTTGGTATTAAGGATATGGAGGTACTGGAGTGTGTCCAGTGCAGGGCAACAAGGCTTGTGAAGGGTCTAGGAAACTTGCCTTATGAGGAGCTGCTGATGTAGCTGGGTTTGTTTAGTCATGAGGAGGCCCAGGGGAGACCTCATTGCTCTCTACAGCTCCCTGAAAGGAGGCTGTAGTGAGGTGTGGGTTGGCCACTTCTGCTGTCCCTACAGTGATAGGACCAGAGGAAATGGCCTTCAGCTGAGACAGGAGAATCAGATATTTGGAAAAAAATTCACTGTTCGGGTGCTCAGGCATTGGAAGAAGTTGCCCTGGGAGTTACCATCCCAAGTGGAATTACCATCTCTGGAGGTGTTTAAGAGGTATCTGGATTTGGTGCTGGGTGGTGGGGGTCAGTGGTTCAGGGGTTACAATGGTAGTGTTGGGTTGATTGTTGGACTTGACAATCATAAAGGTCTCTTCCACCCTTGATGATTCCATGGTTTTACAGTTATACAGGTTTGATATTTTGATATCAAAATCCAGTCATCTTTGAGGGTAAAGTATACTTAGCTTCTTTGAGGGTAAATCTATGGCATAGATATCCAAATACCTAATTCTGTTAAAAGACTTCACTGGTGAAGCTTATGTCATG